CTTGTCCTGTCTATTTTGTTAAATCTGTCTGGGGGGGGGGGTGCTGGCTGACTAGGTCCAAGAGACAGGCTGTGGTCCATACACTTCTAAAGAAGCCTACACTGGACCCAGGAGCTCTCAGTAACTGTCAACCAGTCTAAGTGTTCCATCCTTGAGCAAGGTGACTGGAGAGCTGGACAGCTTGAAGCTTTCATGGATAAAGCAGATTGTTTGGATCCTTTCCAATCTGATTTCAAGCTTGGTTATAGGACTGGAACAGCATTTGTGGATGACCTGTGTCATAAGATGGACAGAGGGAGTGTGACTGTCCTGAAAGTGTTCTGAAACTTGGGTCATAGCAACTCTATCACTCCAGTCTTGTTCTATCTATACTGGAACATCTATACTGGCTCCTAGTTTTTGTCTGGGGCAAATACAAGGCATGTGTATTTTAGCTCTTATTTTAATTGTTTTAATGATATATTTTCTGTTGGTTTCAATAGATTTTAAGATGTGATTTTATTATGTTTTTAATTTGTTAGCCACCTTGGTGGTCCTTATAAGGGCAGGAAGGTGGAGCATACATTTGTAAAATAAATAAAATAAATATCTGAGTCTCCGAATTGGAGGATGAAAGCTTCAGATGGCTTTATACACTAACTTCTTTTTCATCTGGACTCAGGTTGTCTATAGCATTGATGGCTGTGTCCGAAATTTTCACATGACAGAGTCCCCTGTTAACCTGAATAACCCTACCTCTAGTTATAATGTTGGGAAATGCTTTGCCAATGCACAGGAAGGAACATATTTTGATGGAACAGGGTTTGCCAAAACAGGTAATAGTTCACTATTTATTATTCTTTAGAAGTTGTTTGGGCACTCTAAATAGACTGTTGCTATGGGAGGCATGAACACAGTAGAGTCTGGAAAGGGAAAATGTGGAACTGAAGAAATATAAATATTGGTAACTACCTTCTGTGCAACTGATCTTAGTTGTTTTATCATTGCGATTACAGTGATTGTTGTTACCATCATCATTATTGTTATATTGCTATCTTTACTGTTATTATTCACAGTAATGGAACTTGCACAGGAATATGATCATTGTGATGAAAATCAAAGGATTTGTCACAGCTCCAAGGGAAGAACGACAGGAGAAAATTAGAGATGGAGGGCCCTACTTCTCCAGTCTCCCTAGAACCATTTGCCTACAGCCCATGAACTCTCAGTGGGTGGCTGACACTCAGCTGTCTAATGTAAAATCGTAGGCAGGCTCTGACAGGCTAAATTCTGGCTCTTTTTTACCTTATACACACACATCCAGATTCCAGGCAAACATACAGCCTAGCTCACGAGAGTTGGCCTGTACATAACACAGTCCTTTTATACTTAAGTGATCTGGGGATGATAGTCTCTCTTCATCCAACAAGTTCTAACTTTATTTTGGAAAACAGAGGAAGGAGGCAAGATTCATATAACTACTTGCATGGGGAAAGCTGAGTGGGAAAGGATTTCAGACACGGTGGAGAAAGCAAAACAGAGTTAAAATAATACAGAAAGCTAATGCAACCTGACTGTACTAGATCCCTAGCTTAATGGCTTACAGTTTTTCAGGGTCCTCCTGAACCATGTTGGGCTAACATGGGCCTATCCTGTCAGGCCTATCCTCTACCCTGCTTGCTCTTAGGAAAGGCAAGGGTAATTCTCCATAAGAGTTTTATCAATCTGGTTATAATCACACCCTCTTGCATGGATAGGTACTTCTCCAACTCTGGCTACTGCTAAGCCTAACGTTTGCTGTTGGAAGAGAATCCCTACCCCTTCCTTTTGTGATTTGCTTCCCAAAAAGACTGTCTGATTCTGAAGCTGAAGTAAAACAGGGAATCATGGGGATCAAGATGGATCTCATGACAGGATTGATGTATTTGTGATTGCATTTCTTCCTCATTTCTCAGTTGGAGCATACAAAGTGGGGACAGATCTGCGAGTGGAATTTGAGTTCCGTACAGCTCGAACAAATGGTGTTCTGTTGGGAATCAGCAGCCAAAAAATGGATGGACTTGGTATTGAGCTGATAGATGAAAAAGTGAGTATGGCACTATTAGCATTACATCAAATTTCACTGGGCTTCTCAACCACACTAAGTAATGCTTTCTTAATGTTGTGTCTCTTAATTCTCCTCTCTTCTAATGTGAGAGTCTTGCAAGTATAGAGGTCAGTGTGTTAGAACAGGATCTAGGAGATCCGGGTTCAAATCCCTTCTCTGTCATGCAGCTCACTAGATGGTCTTGGCCAGTTATTCTCTCTCTACCTCACAGGGTTGTTATGAGGATAAAATGGAAAGGGGTAAATGATGCATGCCATCTTGAGTTCCTTGGAGGAAGGGCAGAATAAAAACGAGAGGGGAGGTGGCAGGCACCTCAATCCAGAAGGAGGCCAGTGTTTATTAATAGCAAGACTTGTGCTTTCCTTTCCATTTTGAATTAAGAAATACCTGGGCAAAAAATTGCTGTTGTGTTTGCACAGTTCTGGAACTCCACAACCAGCACTAATTGTTGGGTACCCAGTTGCCACTGCTGGATTTGGAACTGTGCCTATAGACTCAGTCAGTCTGCACTGTCAGTTTCAATACCACAGACTGCCTCTTTGATGAGAGCATGTAGTCTCCGTCTATCCATGCAGGTTCTCATGGGCTCTACCAGAGCTGACACTTCCATCACAGCAGTCATAAATGTGCATCTCAGTGCTACATATATACATTTCTGATGCTGTGCCAGAGTGGGCTTAAAATCAAGCCACACACATGAACAATATGGGCATAATTCCTATTTAGCATTTCAAATATTTGAAAATTGGAAAGATAACCATTTAGTGAAATTGATTGTAAATAATACATATGCAGGAAAAAGTCTCTGGAAGGAGTCCTTGTCTTTTAGACTAGACTCATCCAGGGAGATCGGGTCTCCTGCTTCAGCCCCCCCAACCTCCCTCGCCTGCCGCCACTTGGCAGATGGGCAGGAGTCTCCTAGTCTCCGGTAAAACCATAGACTTTTGTCTAAATTTTACCATGTCACATTGGAGTCACATCAGCAACATGACATCATTTCCAGGAAATGACAGTGCACCATTGTCATGACATCATTCCACCTGTCTCCCTCCCCCTCCCTGTCCTGCTGGTTGCCAGCTGATGGCTGTCAACATCTGAAGCCTAATACCTTTAGCATGTTTTCTCATAGTTCATATGTTGTTGTGCCTTCCTGTGCGGGAACACATTCCAGCCCGCCCTAAAAACACTGCACTGGATGCCTATAGCATACCAGATACGGTTCAAGGTGCTGGTTCTTACCTTTAAAGCCCTATATGGCTGGGGACCTACTTACCTAAGGGACCGCCTCTCCCCACATGTTCCCAAGAGAGCACTAAGATCTGGATCCCAAAATCGCCTGGTTCTCCTGGGCCTGAAAGAGTCCAGGTTGGTTACAACGAGGGCCATGGCCTTTTCCATGGAGGCTCCTCACTGGTGGAACAAACTCCCAGATGACATCAGGGCCTTCGCAGGGCCTGCAAGACGGAGCTCTTCCACCAGGCATTCAAGTAGGGCACCACCTCGACTTTATGGCCCTGGCCATCAACATCACTACCAACCTGACCATAACATCAGCACCACCGACAGCTGGATGTCTAACAGCCACTCAGCGATAACAGAATATCGCCATCTTGTAATAACGCTAGGGGTTGTGTAACTATGGTTTTATACTTAAATTTATTTTAATGTTGTGATACTGGAGTTTTAAATGGGTTCAAGAGATGATGGAGACCCTACCACTATGCATTTCCCCCCACCTTTCCCCTTGATGGCCTTGGGCCAGCAGCATGGCCCGGCACTCCTCCGTAGACCTCCCACCGCCGGTACCATTAAGGGGGCTGTGGGCCACTCGCTGCCAAGGATGGAGGTCCTCATTGGCTCCAGAGCGTAGCCTGGGCCTGGACCAAGGTAGATCCGTCCTCCAGAGGCCAGATCCACTGCCCTGGAGGCCTAGGGCAAATAGACCTGTTCTCCAGAGGCCAGGTCTACCCAATAGCTGACCGGGGTGAGTAGACCTGGTCTCTGGAGGCCAAATCTACCTCGTAGAAGCCTACAGATGATAGTAGTTTATACTGTATTTTTGTATGTTTTTAAACTGAAATTTAAAAAATATATTTTAAAATGTAGGCCCGCATACAACTTTAAGGCTAGCAGATCTTTTGTCTCATGAGGCAGAATGTCTGCTCACAATAGTCGACAGCTTAGAGGGAACATAGGTCCTGACCTTGCCTTTACACGAGCAATGGATTCCAAATATAGCCCCAGGATGTATTCCTTAGTGCCTGTAGTTGCTATTGCAGCATAAAAAGGATTTATGAGCAATGTAAGGCAACTGTACGGTCTGTTGCAATCTTGCTTTAAAATAAGTTATTTGCAGACATCTCATCATTAGGCAAAACCAGACTGCTCTGTTCTACTTTCTGGGGTTAAAATACCACTGTGTGCTACAGCAATCCTGGGGGGAGGGGGGGGCTTCACGTTGCAGCTGAGGTTTTTCAAGGCAAGAGACATTCAGATGTGGTTTGCCATTGCCTGCCTCTGCATAGCAACCCTGGTATTCCTTGGTGGTGTCCCCTCCAAGTACTGGCCAGAGTCAAGCCTGCTTCAGCTTCTGAGATCTGACAAGATCAAGCTAGCCTGGGCTATCCAAGTCAAGGCACCAAAATCCTACCCCAATGACAATTCTGTTTTCATTTTCCAACTCTTCTAAGAGGTCCTAGATAATGTTCTGCTAGAGTTTGCCACATGTTCAACTGAGAATATTCTCAGAGCCCAAACCAATGTTTATCCTTCCACATCTGTTTGCTAATGTTCACAACCTCAAAACAGTTGCTGCATTGTTGCTATTTTGTGCCTGTTCAGCTCTGTCCCTTCTCATCTGTTCCAGCAAACACAATGAACAAACATTTAGCCAGTGAGATTTAGCTACACACTGATGTCACTGAGTGATTGAGGACAAATGAAGAAATCGCCCTGTCCTTGTTTTGGGACAGTGCTGCCCAGCAGTGGTTGATGGGGAGATGAGGCACACAAACATTTTCATCTCCCATCTATGTCAACAAGAGAAGGGAGGCACAGTTTGCAGAGTCCAACACAGTTCTTTACCTCTCTCATCCCTGCTCAGGTGTATTCTGCATGGTCACTGCTATATTCCATAAGCTGCTGTACAGTTAGTGGATAATTACATGTTTTTTTCAAGTGGGTCAAATTTTTACAAATATTTTAATCTTCAAATCTCTCGCTGAAATATCATTTTGTGTCTATTTTATTACCCATCTTAGAGTTCAGTAACAATAATCCATGGTCTTTGAGCTTTCCTGCCAAAATCACTCCTGAAACTTAATTTCAAATGGATTTCTGAGTGTAATACAATTTCATCCATTTACATTGATTACATATTTAATCACTGCTTCTTGCAAAGGTAGTTAAAAAAACCATTATTGCTTTTAAGACCATATACCAGGCTATGTTGACATACTTTGCATATTAAGATATACAAGATGTATAAGATTAAGCTATCTGTAAGGCAGATCAGGTGTGATAACAGTCAAACCTGCAATCAGCAGATTACATATTTTTTGTTTTTATAGCACACTGGATTTCTTAATTGTTTTTATACTTTGCTCTCTAGGTGATGTTTCATGTGGATAATGGTGCAGGTCGATTCTCTGCCATCTATGAACCTGCTGTTGCAGGTAGCTTGTGTGATGGAAACTGGCACAAAATTATTGCAAGCAAGCTAAAGCACCGTTTAGTACTGTCAGTGGATGAATACCAAGTAGAAGGTATCAGTCCAAATGCAGCCTCTACTTCAGCAGAAACTAATGATCCTGTCTTTGTTGGAGGATATCCTGGTAAGTACACAAAGTCTCTGTTGGTCTACAAAATGTCTTTCAAAACAAAATGTAATACTGCTGAAATGAACAAAAATATATACCTTCTGGCTCACACATATGCTGCATCTTATAAAAAACTATGGCAACCCTCACCAGATTTGTTTATTTGTTTGCTTTGAAGTTGCGATATTTATTTATTCGTCTTCCGTCTGCAGTGGAGCCCCACATTGGGACTGTGCTTGTGCAGGCCAGCCACAGATTGATTTTTCATTAGCTACAACTCTCCAAGTGTCAGGCTCCTTAGCAGGATCACACCACACACAAAGGCTTCTTGAGAAGATAAGTGTTTTATTGGTAGTCCAGAACTAAAGAACGAGTATACATCTTGTGTCAGGAATGACTTGCAGTATGATGGCCCCTGACTTATAGTATAATCAAACTTCCCCCACCCCCCAATAAGCAAAAGCCAATGAATACATTTCACACGCGTGGGCTGAAGCCAGAAGCGAGACAGGGATGAGCTGGAAACGAAGAGGCGGTGCACCCCTCCACATTCCAACTCTATGACAGGGCTACCTGACACCAAGGGGGTCACCCCTCCCCCTCCGGAGCCAACAAAAGCTGCTTTTCTCACCTATACCATCACGTGCTTTGGAGGCAGGGTGCCTTGTTTTCTTCTATTCCTTTTTTGCTGCCATTTCCCAGCTTTGCTGCTCAGTGCAATTGTTTTCTTCGATGATTTTTTTTTGGCCCTTTTTCACAGAATTCAAGGGTTTTTCACTCTTGTTCCTTTTTCCAGTATTTTTCTTCTTTTTTTTCTCACGAGGAGACTTTGTCCTGAGTGAGGTGACTCTCATTGGCCTACCCTTCCTTGTCGCTTGTGATCCCACAATGGCGTCCAAGGCACTCTTCAACAAATGCACGAAATGTGCCAAAAGATGATGAGCACGAGCTTTGCCTCATCTGTTTGGAAGAGTCACATAATGTCAGTGCTTGCAAGATTTTCCAGGGATTTATTGCAAGGCCCGCTCAGATAGAGTGTTGCATTTGAAGGTTGCCCTATGGGGAAAGGCACTATCATGCTCAGGCACGTCGTGGTTGGTGCCAGTATCAGAAACTTCAAAGCTACCTCCTTCAAACTGGTCTGCCTCTTCAGCTTTGTGTCACTCCAGACCAACCTCCATTCACTCAGTCCAGATGGTACCGACACCCAAGCAAACTCCATGCCTGGTTAAGAAGGCCGCATCAGTCATCCCTGCCTCAGAACCAAGGCATCATTGGTCCCCATCTCTACTGGCCCCAGGCCCAATCTTCTTCAGAATCTTTTGTTTAAAAACAAAAGAAAATGAGGCATAAGGAGAAGTTTAGTGCAGCTTAGCGGCATAGGCACCCATTGCCTTTACTGAGGCAGCCCCCAGAGGAGAATTATGTGATCTTGGTACTTCTGCTCAATCTGTCACCTCACTTTGGATTGCCAGCTGGTTCCTCACCTGGATCTGAGAAGGAATGCAGTAGCATTC